CTTTTCATTGAAGACGTCTAAGTTCTCTCCAAAGCACAGAAATCTCACCTTCCACAGGATACTTGTAGCACTCACTTGACAATTAAGTCACATATCAAGGTGGTTAGGAAGCTCAGATTTGGTGATGGACCAAGCTGTATCTGAATTACTTTATAAGGGGCCTTAGGTTTCTCATCTCAGAAAATGGGGACTCTAACAGTGCTTACCACACAGACTAGCTGTGAGAAGTAAATTAGATAACACATGGAAAGCACTAGATGCTAGGGCCTGTGAGATTTCCAAGATCTACAAAGGTGTTAGAGACTTAGAAAAAATTGGCTTGAAGATAAAAAAAGAAAACTGCAAAATCAAAATTAATAAATGTTTAAATACATAACTTTTGCCATTCTCAACTGCCTATTAACTCAACCTTTCTGTAATTATATATACACATGAGTTAAAGTAAAATAATTTTAAATATCCTTTCAAAAAGTATGTAGTAAAAAAGCTACATTTACTGCTGGATCAAAGTATATTTTAATGTTTGCTATTACACTGAATGTGATGTTATAACTAAATAATCCTTGACCTACGGAGGTCTTAAAATAACTCTGAGTGCTTGAAAAATGGTAGTTATAATTACCATTACTATAAAAATAACGATAATGATGATTCTCCTTTATGACATTTCCTGTACTATGCTGTTGTTGTTATGTGCTGTTGAGTCGTCTTTGACTCATAGCAATCCCTCCTTGGGTTTCCAAGGCGGTATCTCTACAGAAGTAGATTGCCCAGTCTTCCTTCTGAAGAGTGGCTGGTGGGTTTGAGCTGTTAACCTTCTGGTTAGCAGTCAAGTGCCTTAGGCACTATGCCACCAGAGCTCCCTCCCTCCTGTACTACAGTGCTCTTGCTATGTCTTTCCAATTAAACCATAAGATTCTTGAGGGCAGTATTGTACAGAATAGACTGAGTCAAGAAACTGGGCTCTGATCTGATCATGTGTGGAAACAGTCCCAGGCCTCCATTTCTTCATCTGAAAAACAAGAAGACTAAGAGTTGCTGAGAAGGTGTACTCTGCCAGGTCATAGTGAGGATTACAGACCATTCTTAAAAGTGCTCTAACTGTGAAAACATACAGGAATGCATGTCTCAGAAGCATCTACAGCACCTAGCATGGCCCCTTAGAACCAGGGAGGTATCAATAAACATCTGGTGATTTCTACAGAAGGTTCTTTTCTGCCATGGTATCTGAACAATACTTTATGTATTTATAGTCTTTTCCTTTTTGTTTATTCATTCTTTAACAAACACTGAGCCTCTTCTTTGCATTGGGGCCTGTGCTAAGAGCTGGAGATACAATGGGATAGCTAGAATCTATGGTAAAATTCTCCTTTTTTTCATTCAATATATGATTTTATATATTGTCACACCACTAACATACACTTTCTGAAGGTAAATAAACAATTTAAGAAAGAACAATGTCATCTCTTAATGTCTGTCCCCAAATCTAAAACACTGTATTTCTGGATGGGCTCTGACTATTTCTGTGTGGAGTATTTTCATTTTGCCCTGGTTTTCAGTTGAGGCTAGGTTTTGTAAGAAAGCAGCTTGCTTTTCACTATGGTAATAAAACCAAGATGCAAAGCCTGGCACTCACAGGTGGCAGACAGGAGTTCCAGGTGGTTGTGTCATCACTGCTGGTGCTTATGCTGACGTTACAGTTGTCAACCTGGGATGCACTCAGGCCATGGGAAGCCCCAGTCTCTTCCAGTTCTTCATTCTGCTGCCGTCGTAGACTTGCCAGCATCAGCAACTCGGATTCACTCATCTGACTGGGCTGATAGTTTCTACAGTCATACTCCTGAGCGACAGGGAAGAAAATGACAGTGCAAAGGATCACTTGGTCTTTCTTAACTTCATAGGTTACCAAAAAATGCCACTCCTCTGCCTTAACCCCTTCTATGGTTCCCTCCTGATAGAAGCTCACATCCTTAATGTGACTTTTTAGTGCTGCTACCCCACCTGCCTCTTGTTCATCTTGTCTCTTTTGCTCCTGCTACACCAGCCACATTGTCCTTCATTAAGTTCCTCAAAATCATGAAACTTATGTCTGCCTTAGCTCCTGCACACTTATTAGTCTCCGTGCACTGTGTTGTAGCTAAGACCTATGCATCCTTCATGTTCCAAATGACGTTTCACTTTCTTAAGGAAACCTTTTCTAACAACTCAAACTTGGTCATCTCTCCAGCATGTGCTCTCACAGAATCCCAAAGTCTTCATTTTTAGGATTCATCACAATTGCAGTTATGTAATTGTTTTCCACTTTACAGGTAGCCTATTAGTTCCACAAAGGCAGGCACCAAGACTGCCGTATTCCCTCTGCATTCCCAGTGCCTGGTACCCTGGTAGGTGCTCAACCAATATATGTAGATTGACTAAATAAACAAAAATTCAAAGCAGCTTTTTTAAAAATAATTTTTCATTTTAAAAAATCCAATTTATAAGGGAACTGATGGATTTCATCATGAACATTATGACCAAATACATTCAATTTACAGTAAGATGGAGAATGATAAATGCTATGAAAAGCCAACAAGTAAAATATGAGAGTAAGTTGGGAACCTGTGAGGCCTGAAAGCCAGAAAGGCCTTGCAGCTACAATAAACAACTATACTGATGTGGACTATACTACAGATGTAATATGTCAGGTGTACGTTTCTGTCAAGACCACTACTACAAATCAACATCTTTAAAGACTAATATAAATATTCATTCAATGTAAAGGGCATAAATTGATAGAGAATTTCCAAAACCTTTTCTTACCTTCCTCTCTGGCCTAAAACAAACATTGTAAACTGCTAACCAGAAGGTTGGCGGTTCAAACCCACCAGCCCCTCCTCAGAAGGAAGGTTGGGCAATCTACTTCTATAAGAGATATCGCCTGGGAAACCCAAGGAGGGGTCACTATGAGTTGGAGACGACTCGACGGCACATTACAACAACAACCAGAATTTCAAGATTATTAAAATGATAACAGCACATATGAGCAGTGTGATTGATATCCAGGACTTGTAGATACTAAAAAGTAATCTGAAATTTTAGTGTACACCTGGAAACATTGGTTTATACTAAATTTTTTTTTTTCCCTAAGACACACTTCTGCACATATTTTCTTGGAGTAGCCTTTGACAGAGCTACTGTCTTCTACTTTATAGGGATGTAAAAAGTTAAGAAAAGACAATTTTGAAAAAATTTCTTGATATTCCTATGACATTAAAAGCTTCTGAATAAAGTATTATCCTCATCCTACTTTGGGGGTCATGAAAGCTTGTTATCTAATAAGGTGATGTGGAGATTTTCTGGAAAGTTGCCAGTGGAAACTCACTTAAACCCTTATAGTTAATGGCCAGTAGCCTGGCACCCGGAAAAGCACTGCAATCTTTAAGAGGAGATTTCATGAGTGTTTAATATGTTTTGAGACTGACAATAGAGTTCTGGGGGCAAACAAAATTTATACTCCAAAAAAATAAAAGAGAGAGGAAAAAAAGGGTAATGGAAATAATTTAAATGAAAAAGAAGTAGCTGAGGGTGGGGTGGGGCACATGAAAAGATGCTCAACATCATTAGTCCTTAGAGAAATGCAAATCAAAACCACAAGGAGATACCACTATATACAATGGCTAAAATAGTAAGAAAAAAAGACTCAAAAACATGAGCAAGAGTGTGGAGAAGTTGTAAGTCTTATACGTTGCTGGTGGGATTAGAGAATGGTGCCGTCACTTTCAAAACAGTCTGGTAAGTCCTCAAAAAGCTATATATAGGTTACCATATGACCCAGCTATTCTACTGCTAGGTATACACCCAAAAGAACAGAAAACATATGTCCATATAAAAAACTGTACAGGCATACTTACAGTGCATTATTCATAATACTCAATAAGTGAAAACAACCTGAATGTCCATTAAATAATTGAAAAACGTGATATACAATGGATTATTAGTCCATAAAAAGAAATGAAATACTGATATAAACTACAACATGGATAAACCTTAAAAACATTATGCTAAATGCAAGAAGTTAGACACAAAAGACCACATATATCGTGATTCCATTTATATAAAATGTCCGGAGTAGGCAAATCAACAGAGACAGAGATAGACTGGTGGTTGCCAGAGGCTAGGTGTACGGAGGGATGGAGAGTGACTGCTAATGAGTGCAGGATTTCTTTTGGGGGTGATGAAAATGTTCTGAAATTAGATAGGTTGCGATTGTTGTACAACCTTGTGAACTAAAAACTACCAAATTGTATATTTTAAAAGAGTGAATATTGTGGTATATGAATCATTTCTCAATTCTAAAAAATCTAGTTTGGTTATCAGATGTAAAAATGAATATACCAGATGCATGATATTGGGCACATCTGTGTATAAGTGACTTGTTGTCCTTCCTTTTATCTGTCAAGAAATAATACTAAACATTCTAATGTGTCAAATAGGTATGCTATTTAGCTTGTCTTAAAATGGAAATGTAAGAATTTTTTCACAATCATAGTTTTTCTTAAAAACAATAGCCTTAATATGTACTTAGTGTGATTGAGTCACCCATTCAATTTATAATCCATACCTATGTACTGTGCCTGAGGCACAAGCCTAAGTGCTATAGCAGAAAAACAAGAGGATGTGGCAGCGGTTACGCCATACAGATATAAGACTGGGTCCTAGTTCCACCATTTACAAGCTGTACATGATTGGGCCACGACTCGTCTGTCAGTTTGTCATACTGTGGTGGCTTGTGTGTTACTGTGAGGCTGGAGGCTATGCTATTGGTATTTCAAATACCAACAGAGTCATCCCTGGTGGACAGGTTTCAGCAGAGTTTTCAGACTAAGACAGTCTTGGAAGATGGAAGGAGCCATCCACTTCTCAAAGAATTGAGAAATTCTGAAAACTTGAATAGCCCTGAAACACTGTCCAATATATGCCACAAGATGAGTCCCTCAAATTGGAAGGCACACAAAATACAACTGGAGAAGAACTGTCTCCTCAAAATAGAGTCAAACCTTAATGATGTGAATGGAATAAAGCTTTCGGGACCTCCTTTTGCTGAGGTAGCACGATTCAAAATGGGAAGAAACAGTCGTACGTATCCATCAATAATCAAATATGGAATGAACGAAGTATGAATCTAGAAAAAGTGGAAGTTATCAAAATTGAAAATGGAATGCAGAAAGGTCGAAATCCTAAGCATTAGTGAGCTGAAATGGACTGGTTTTGGCCATTCTGAATCAGACAACCATATGATCTACTATGCTGGGAATAAGAAATTGAAGAGGAATGGCATGGCATTCATCATCACAAAAAATGTTTGAAGATCTGTCCTGAAGTACAATACTGTCAATGCAACGGAACTGCAATGTACTGCTGTGGAATTGGAACTGGCTTATAGCGACCCTTCCTTGGGTTTGCAAGGTGGTGTCACTATGGAAGTAGATTGCCCAACCTTCCTTCCGAGGAGTGGCTGATGGGTTTGAACTGCAAGCCTTCTGGTTAGCAGTCAGTGATAGGATAATATCCATACACCTATAAGAAAGACCAGTTAATACTACTATTATGCAAATTTATGCACCAACCACCAAAGCCAAAGATGAGGAAAGTGAAGATTTTTTTTCTGCAGTCTGAAATTGACTGAACATGCATTCAAGATGTATTGATTATTACTGATAAAAGTTGGAAACAAAGAAAATCACTGATAGTTGGAAAATATGGCTGTGGTGATGGAAATGACACTGGAGACCATATGACAGAACTTTGCAAGACCAACGACTTATTATTTAAAAATACCTTTTATTCAACAACATAAGTGGTGGTTATATGTGTGGACTTCACCAGATGGACTCCACAGAAATCAGATCGACTACCTCTGTGGAAAAAGGTGATGAAGAAGCTCAGTATCTTCAGACAAAACAAGGCCAGGAACTGACTGCAGAACAAACCATCAACTAGTCATATGCAAATTCAAAGTGAAGCTGAAAACAATTAAAACAAGTCCACAAGAGTCAAAATATGATCTTGATTATATCCCTCCTGAATTTGGAGATTATCTAAAGAACAGATTTGATGCACTGAACACCGATAACCAAAAACCAGATGAATTGTGGGAAGACATCAAGAACATCATCCTTGAAGAAAGCAAAAGGTTTTATTAAAAAGAAAGGAAAGGAAGACCAAAATGAATGTCAGAACAGATTCTGAAACTTGCTTTTCAATGAAGAGTAGCTAAAGCAAATGGAAGAAACGACCAGATAAAAGAGCTGAATAGATGATTTCAAAGAGCAGCTTGAGAAAACAAAGTCAATTATTATAATTACAATGAAATGTGCAAAGACCTGGGATTAGAAAACCAAAAGGAAAGAACATGCTCAACATTTCTCAAATGGAAAGAACTAAAGAAAAATTCAAGCTTCAAGTTGCAATATGGAAAGATTCTATGGGCAAAATACTGAATGCTAAAGGAGGCATCAAAAGAAGATGGAAGGAATACACAGAGTCATTATATGAAAAAAAACTGGTTGATGTTCATTCATTTCAGGAGGTGGCATATGGTCAAGAACCAATGGTACTGAAGGAAGAAGTCAAAGCTGCACTGAAGGAATTGGTGAAAAACAAGCCTCCAGGAATTCATGGGATACCCACTGAAATTTTTAAACATATGGCCACTGTGCTGTAGGTACTTACTCATCTATGCCAAGAAATTCAGAAGACAGCTACCTGGCCAACAGAATAGAAGAGATCCATATTTGTACCCATTCCAAAGAAAGGTGATCCCACACAATGTGGAAATTATCAAACAATATCATTAAT